TGTGACATAAACTTAACATGTGTTCTTGTACAATGTCTAGCAGGCACAGGAAGTGTGCCTTGTTTATGAAACAGACAAATTAGAATTTTCTGAAAGACTGCAACAAACATCTCGAGTGAGTCGAGCCCGGCACACGTACACGGCAGCAGGCGCGACGCCACGGTCCTATCACTGCTGCTCGCAGCTTTAATGTGGAATATGAAATAAGGGCCTAAAAATAAGATTAATTAGGCATCATTTACTTTCAGCTATTCATCTACCTGCTATTCATTTACATATTAATAGGAAATGGAAGGACAATCTAACATTCATTTACTTTCTCCTTTGGGCTCCCACATCTGGGCTCATCATCTTCTATTATAAACTGCACAGCAATATTAAATTGTATAATCAGTATTTGAGTTCTAAGGGCAAACTGTGTCATTAAATGTTGTAGTGTGACTCTCACCAAGCACCTAATCCAGTAAAAGCTTTTCTTCACTAATTTTCCAAATAGCCCCGCCCACCTCATGACCCACCGTAACTTTTGATACACACTCTTACACATATGCAGCTATATATAACAACCTGCTACACGTCTCCCATTCAACAGTCACAGACCAACTAATATCATATTATGATTCTTGATGGCCAGAGCTCGTTTAAGTCCCCGGCTTTAAAACTGTAAATGAGTGAAAGATTACTGGTAAGCCTACATTAAACAGCAGGAAGCCTCCAAGGCTGAGATTACACTCCTTACTCCTTTGCTTCCTCTGAAAACATCCATTTGCTTAAAGGTTAATCTCACACAAATGGAAGAGATAAGGATGTGTTATATTATCATGCTAGAGGAGTCTTATAATGAGTATAAAATAAGATAAAACAACAAACCGATGGAATGTGCTAACAGGTGTATGTGTTTTTCAAGTTTTGGCAAAAGTCTTTGCACATTTCCTGCAAATTTCTTTTATCTCTCCAGGTATATACAACAGATGATATATACCAGGGGAGCTAATAGGGATACTACTTTATACATGAAAGGACCCTTAAAGAATATTCACCCTCTCAGAAATGCCAGTGATTTCGTTG